GATGGCATATGAGAATCAGGTCACAAACAGGTGTTGAGAAAGAGCATGTAATGTAGCCTTACTATATCAGTTAGCTAACTGGAATGGTCATTTGGGACCGAGGACTCCAAAGACTTGAGAAATCCGGAGAGCACTGGGAACTCAAAGAATATTTTGTCACAAGTATCGAACGGTAGTTGATAAGGCCAAAGAGCCAGGTCAAAAAACGAGTTACAGTTGGCATTTCTGATCAAAGTGGGTTCAACCTCCTCTCAATACACCATTGCTGATATCTGTGTCATTTCCATTGATAAATGTTCATTGCGGGACAAAGCAAAGAATGAGGCAGAAGTATGATTGAGAGACGAGATGAAAAATAAAAAATATCCAAGCTGATGATATATTGAATTGGAGCAAGAATAAATGTCTCTGTCCTGAGAATGAAGCCTACCTTGGTTGTTTCTGAAAGTATAATCAGGATGTGATGTTCAGACAATTGACGAGATTGTGCCAGCAGTAACCAGTTATCTATGGAAAGGTGTGTACACAGTGCAATGTAATGGAGTTGACAAGAAAAAACTCATATGATAAGGCAGAACTTATGTGAAGCCAACGTGAGTCCGAAGGTATCTGACTCTTGTGCACAAAAAACATCAATAATGGTGGGACGACACCACTATGACAATGTGCAGATAGAAGGCAACTACAACAAATTTGGACATCCACAATCCCAATAAAAAATGTCAACTCAGATTAAGAGTAACTTGTGAACCTTGGAGAATCTAAATATTGATACAGATGAGGAAGATCGATGACATGACACTAATCTCTTGTCTTCTTAGGCCCACCAACTGATGGGAATAAAACCTTGGAAGAACTAGCACAATTTTCGCTCTACCCCCAGACCAAACAAACTCTGATAGCCCTAGAATTAAGTTCCAAATCTCATTGGGTGGATAATAGTGGTGAAGATGTGAACTGAATGACTAATCCTGTCTCAAGGACCTGTGGTTAATGTTACCATACATCCAGAAATTCTCAGAGCTGAGCCCCACAGACCCTAAAAACATACAATAATCACCAATCACTGAAACTGCTGGTGGCAATCTGACTGAGTAGTGGAACCATTGGATATAGACAGAATATATTCTGGGGACCACTGTAACAAGGGGCTGATGGCAGGGGTCAGGCCCCCACAAATAGGGGTGGAACTATGACCCCGTGTAGGAGCCGATGAAATTTGAGATGCTAAAGACAACAGGGATGAATGTAGAAGCCACCAACTGAGCCAATGTGCATGCTAATAATGGTTCCAGCTCATCACCAATGAAGTTGGTGATCCTGAGAGTCTTCCAACAAAGTGAAGTGAAAGGAAAACAAAATGTTGGATTTTAGAGTTGTAAGTCCGTAGATTTACCCTGTCCCATCAGGGGACATTGATCTATTCAGGTTAAGTACAAACACTGCCTTAGAACCCTGAAATTCAAGAAGCTGATGTATAATTTGAAAGTCGGATTATACTTCCACCTGGCGGTGATAGGCTAAATCAAGAAGTTCCGACAACTGTGTCAGATAAGGCATAACTGTCCCTTCACGTAACTGAGAAGCAAACCTCCCTGCATGAACAACAATGTTTGTGGATGGAGAGAAAACTAAAAATTTGCTCTCAGACTTTTCAACCATCAAGTAAGGTGCAGGCTCAAAAGCAACTAGAGAAAGACCCAAAACATCACACACTCAATGAACCAACTGAAGAAAACAAAACAAATCAGAGGCAGCTTATTCCAAAATGGCCTCCCTTGTGTTTTTTATATGTCAGTTAAAGACTGTGTTGATTACCATTGATTGGAACAACATTTGGTCAGGTAAGTTTGTTTTGTTAAAGCAAAGCAACATTGGGCTATTCATTGTGTCCCCTATAGGGAATCAAACCCCAGATTCTAGCATTACAAGTCTTTATATTCACCACTGTCCTACAGGGGGACTGAAAAACCAACAGACTGAAAGAAGGTGCAAGAAAAACGGAATCTATAGTCTCTCCAGTATGTTAAGGATCACCCTCAAATGTAGTGTCAAAGCCCTCCCTCCAGAGGAACACCACAGAACCAAGTATATGTCCCCATCTCGCTTCGAATAATATCAATGACAGTCTCAACCAAAAGTGTCTCCACCCATCCTGATTGTTGTGTAATGCTAGATATCAGAGGTGTGATAGCAGAGATCTGATTTGCCTCCGTGCCAGAAATAATAATCTGGAAATTGATACCATAAATGGGCTTGCCAATCAGAATTATTATTATTTTTTTATTCTAATGAAAATCATCTAGGTAACACGGAGAATGTTCAATGTATCTCTGAACATCGTAGTACTGGGAAACTCATTACACTTTGTCGAGAAAAAGTGATAATATCTGGATGAGGTGCTTAAATACAGTACCACGATAGGGGCACATTGACATAGGTGGAGAGTGTCATGAGACAAATATCGCCAAAGACAATTAAGTGGAGTATAACAGACTGAAACAAGCAAGAAAAAATCAGACCAATGCTTAGATGGGCAAAGAAAGAAACTGTGGCAGTCAAGTAATAGCTGTAAGTGTGAGGGAAGGTATGTTGTGGAAGCACTAGTTTTTGATTAGCCTATTACTTTCGTAAGTTGTAACACTAATCTGTTAAACTTAACAACCTTGAATTAATTAAACATAATGAGGAGAAATAATATTGGCAATGTTTCAATTACTTGGATAGTTGAAATAATCTGAAACAGTAATAATTGGATAAACTAATTTCAATTAGTTGATTATCTTCATGACATCACTTAATTTAATCACAATTTTGATTAATCAAATATTTTACCTGACACGAATGTAATTGATGCTCATAGGTAATCAATTACATTTAATAATTGAGTTAATCACCTAGCTCTACTTTGAAGCCGTGAGATCAGCCATATTGACTGTCTGATCCTCCAAACGGTCAAAATCTGCAATGAAATGACAACAATTTTCAGTCTTGAGGTGCTCCTAATCTGAATGTTCCAAATTTCTGAACACTGAAATGTTTGATTCATTATTAAAGTTTCACAAGAAACCCAAAGTTCACTTATTCCAAGCAACAACTTTCTTGAAATATTTGAGGAATAGTTATGCGAAGTATTTAATATCTTCTACTTGTGGCTTCTGGTCTTATTGCCTGTAGTTTCTTTTCATGAAAATTTCATCTGGATTTATGAATTTGAAATGTACAAGGATCTTAAAAACTTCAGTCATTTTCCTTACCAGGAAGACCAAAACTGAAAACAGTATTATAAGAAATCTCACCGAAATCTTGTCCAAAGAGAATGAATATTAATCCCTTCAAATTAAAAATGTCTAGAGAAAGATAGCTCCTCTCATCACTACTAAATCTAATCTTTCTTAATAGAGAATTATCCACTAAAACATCCAACATCAATTTTAATGTGGCCTTCCATATCCATTTCCAACAAACACAAGAATTACATGTACCATAAAATCAAGCAAACTACTTTAGTATGACATAACAACCAGATGACAAGACTTCACACGTAACATCTTAGCATAAACACCAACATCACCTGATCTAATGAATCATTCAAAATTTACCCGTGGATAATCTTGCTGTGTGATGATATGCCCTCTCATGATGTCAGCAAACTGACAACTTACACGTACAAGTAAAATAGAAAGACCTAATGTTTGAATATTAAAAAATATCTTTGATTACATAATTTTACTTTCACTGCTCCTCAGCTATATCAATCAGTTATGAATTATTTATTCCTCCAGTATAATTTTTGCAAGTTTCACACTATATCCCATTCAGACTTCTTGTATATCAAAATTTCTTTTCTATAATTTTCCAGATGAAGTGGTATGCATGCTGTTCGATTGAATTCAAACTTTTTTATGTACATTTAAATATATTAATATATAGGACATTAAATTTGGAATGATTATCTTCAATGGTAATTTAAAGAGTAACGGTGTGAATTTCAAGGAATAATTGGCCCACTATTTTTCTGTTGTTGTTCATAAACTTGTATAAAAATAGTCTCAGCCACAAATAATCATAAGCAGAGTTTCCAAGACATCTCCATCAAATGATAAATACACTATACAGTGAAATCACAGTAACATATGCAAAGTAAAACTTATCATTACACAAGATCTTAAAAATAAAATCACATCTTAATTATCATCTCTAGCAATTCTCAAAACTCAAAAGTGAATTATAAGAACCATTTTATTTTAACTTTATTAACATGTATCTCAGATTACTGCCTGTACCATAAAATGATAAATGGAATGCTCATTTATAATCTCAAGGTTTTCATGCTTTATCTTTCATCTTTCATATCCAGAGTAATTATAATAAGCACTTTGCTGGAAGTGTTGCTAAATACACCCACAGTGGAGGTAATAAATAATGGTACTGAAATTAACAGTAATAGTTGTACTTGAAAACTGACCTTTGATGTCTTTATACCACCCCTAGTAACAAATACGGTACTATTTTTGAGCTGATGTTTCTACGCTTTCACAAGTTATAACTAATACAAGTAATAAAGTATAGTTATTAGTATTACTGAGTGCTACAACTACTACTATTACTAACATTAATATTAAAAACAGTATTCGTAGTATAATCAACTAAGATTATATTTAAAGATTATTTAAACTCTAAAATCTCAGTAATGGAAAAGTGCACAGTTTCATTTTTTCGATGCTCTTATTATTTTCATTTTTAATTTATACTGGTTCAAGAGTTAAGTTAGTTAATTAACGTTAGGTTAGGCCTAATGACTAACATATTTAAAACTAGGCCTAATGACAATCATTAATGATTAATTTAGTTCGAACCTATCTTAAATTACATAAGGTTAGATTTGTTCCTTTTTTTTCGATTAGGAAATCACTTCATATTCTTTTGGATTTCCCATGAACAAAAACACTATAAGATAAACTTGAAATTAAAAGATTTGCTATATTTCACATACTCACCAACCCACTCCTCCGCTGACTTTATACACCCAGCCAAAACCACACACTCTCCCTAAATACGCAACTCGGCAAGCTGAACCATCTCAAATTATGGCGCGTAAGATTTTGTCTAATTTATTACCAAAAGCTATGATATATGTAAGTCGCTTTTCAGCTGCCACTAGTCTTACGTGGACTATCAAAACAAAATACCAAGGAATTTTGGAAGTACGAGAACAATGACAGTTTGAAATCGTTCGAATAAAGTTAAGAGCCTTCGTCTTGCTTCTTCCAATGAATACAACACTAAGTAAAAAAAACTTTTCGAGACATGTAAAAAAAAAAAAACAAGCTGTCGTTGCTCTGGTGATACGTTCGACCATAGGATTGACAATCATCAAAAATGTGTTACTTTTTTCTAAAAGACTTTCAAACACGTGTTTTTATGAAATATTTTAATAATGTGTAATTCCTCAGGCTTAACGTGGCATATTATATTTATAACAGAAAGAGAATGTATTAAAGTTTTTTTGACTCCTTTATAAAATGTCGCTCCCTATTATAAGCTCCGCCTTATTTACTTTTTAGTGCTGCCATCTTACGGCAGCTATAACATTTATAGAACCTTATCGAATTTTAAAGAAGCAAGCTAATTTCGCAATTTGTTCTTTCTATTAATTCTTCTCACATGAATAAATAATTATCATTTGTTTCGTAATCTGTGACCCGACATCAAATGACTATTTTGAATTAGATAATTATTGAAAACAAGTCATTGTAATTATGGAAATTCTTTTCACCTGATAAAGTTTACATAATGAGGATTATTACCATGTTCAAAACTCAATTGAATAAGATTTGCAGTTATATTTTGAACGCTAAGTTACCTATGACATTTCCTAGATAAATTATATTCTTATTCATTTTTTATTTTAAAATCATAAATAATGCCATAAATTATTCTGAAAAATATCAAATATTAACATAATTTATGAACTCTGGATAATGTTTACATTCAAAAGTGGGATAACACACACTTATGCACAATAATTTTCATCAGTTTTCGGTAATATATAGCTAGAAAACTTTGAATATTAACAAAATAAGAATATTTCAACGTCTATTTTTGACAATTGATACAACGCCAAGCTATTTTTGAAGTGATCAATTAAAATATATTGTTTAAAACTGTATTGTATGAAATTGCTGAATCAATCAAATATCCTAGTGGTTTTGACGTCATTTGCAGAGTAGCACAAGCTTGCTAATTATTTATTTTTTATTTTTTATGCATCCAAAGATGCATGCACAAGATACTGAAGACAGAAGAGTGACGAGAAAAAGAATGATAAAAACCAGCATCATAATCTCTTTCTCGACCAATTAAGAGAACTGTCACAAAGAACAATAATAGAAGGACAGTTAACGGCGATTCATACTTAGATTAATAAGATTGTTGTTGCTTATGATACTGTCACCGATATATCACCGTATACTTTGAAAACGTTTAACGAACAATTTCTACCCATAAAATAATAACATTTTATAAGGTTCCCCCAGCGGTTAATCTGGGGGCTCACACTGCTAAACAACTTGGACACAGAACATATAGCCCATTGTGTAGCTTTTTGTTTAACAACAGACAAACATTTGATGAGCATAAGTAGCATCGGAGCGCGATGGGCTTTCTGGAATAGGGTCCAGACTTACTGCTGAGCCATCAAGGGCAAGTAGCTCTAATTATTTTATGTTGAAGTTTCTGTAGATTAAAAAAGGAGAACCGGAAAGTTGTAATACTATATACAACTATATTTTCAAATTACGTTTTGGGAGCAACATTTTACATATCTGAAGTTTTAAGGTAAACATTCTATTATATTTTTAGCACTCATTTGTTCATTCGTATATGTTGTTATGACAGCGGAAATCACGTGATGCTGGTAACACGTAATGAGTATCTCGAACGTTCATGAAGGCTCTAGCGTTTGCTAGAGGCACGCTGTTATTGTATATAAGCCGGCAAATAAAGTGACTGCGTAAATAATGGAATAGCAGACAGGGAGATAGAGACAGATAATCGAGTCAAGCGTAAATAAAGTGTGTAAATCATTGTGAATTATAGCGTGGGTTTAAGTTAAAGTGACTATAGAAATTCTGTGTATTGCAAA